GAATTTCAAGGGCTACATTTTACACTATTTATATTTGATATACGAATTATTTGAATTTTCGGCCTAATGTCCGCTTGGATGCCCACTGTGTGTAGTTGTGTTGTCGAATAGATGGGTTTGCTGGCCAGTTTCTTGTCCAGAATCGACCATAACATCTAGATCGGGTTGAGATCTGGACTTTTGGCTGCCCAATCCAGTACATTCAACTTCATTTTTCTTATTTTTTCTTGGACCAGTTTTGATGTGTGCCAGGGGGCCAGGTCTTGCTGGAACACATACGCCGTTTTCTTTGGAAATTTTGCCATGGACTTCTTCAATTCGCTTTGAAGAACATCACAGTATGCTAATTCGTTCATATTGTTGTTGAAAATTCGCGCCAACGTCGTTCCTTCGCCCGAGATACCACCCATATGCCGACCTTTCCACCATGACCAGTGTTCATCTGTTGAATACACTCAGGTAGCAGCCGTTCATCATCGGTATGCCAGACTTTGACTTGATTCTTGCGTTTTAGCACATAAAAAGTTGATTCATCGCTGAAAATCACTTTTCTCCACTTTTGAATGGTCCAATGTTGATGTTGCTTGACCATTCGACACGGGCTTTCCGATGTTTGGTGCTGAGCCACAGTTTCTTGATCTTACCGGCATATTCATAGCCAAGTTTCTTCAGACATCGGCGTACTGTGTCCTTCGACACCGGTTTCAAAGACTACTGTTCAAATCTGATGTGATTTTGGCCACGCTTAGTCGATTATCGCCCTTGACCAGCCGTTTCAGCTCACGTTCGTTGCGTTCAGATAGGCTTTTTGGACGACCAGAGCGTTTCAAATCGTCAAATTTGCCGTGATGTTCAAATTTCCTGATTGCATTGCGAACACAGCATCGTGAAATCTTCAATTGTTTGGGAATTTTGGTCAAATTCAGACCGGATTGGCACAATGCCACCGCTTGGGCCCGAATGTATGGTTCAATCGATCTTTTTCCCATCAAAAATCTGGAAATGCAGTTAATAAATATATAAATAGATAGAACAGATCTAAAATATATTTGAAAAGCGTTTTTTCTTGGACTTTTCAGGCAAAAAATAGGATAAAATCGAAAAGTGTCTTAAACTTTGGCCTACTGGAGGAAAATTGCATTTCCTCCTCTGTCCACTATCAGCAACCAACTAGATCGAGAATACGTGGTCTGTGTAGACCCTAGCCCCGGCTACACATACCACTCAAAAAAATGTCCCGTGTCTTCTTTCTTGTCAGAGAAAACACAAAAGTAAAAAGTGTCTTAAACTTTTGCTGTCCACTTTACTGATTAACACTTTCGAAAAATTCAAATTCTTCATCATTTATAATCGAAAGCAGTGCTCAATACTTAATTAATATCCGCATAAACAGATACTTTCTATATCGAACTACACAATACACATCAGTTCATCTTATCATGGTTCGAGAGGAGGAAACGATTTTGTCCGTACGCACCAACTGAAAAGAATTGGTGACCGGTGCCGGAGTAAAAAGCTTTAATTTTCTCCAATGCGATACACATTCTTTGCCACCCATATTTTATCACAGTACATCTACATTGGAAGAAATACAAGCAATGTGACACAGGCCTACATCAATAACATATTCTGAAAAATACCTTGAAAATCTCACAATAGTCGTTCAGCCGTTCTCATTTCATATTCTAGGCAACGACAACATACTCCCTCGAGAACCAGCGACACATCTGTTCCATGACAAAGACTATAATCTTGAAAATTTTACTGTTGTTTGGCTCGACGCTGATATAGATAAAACAAATGATTGCTACGATACAAAAAAGCGTTTAAAAACCATTGCTAATCATTTAAGAACTTTTTGTGATATTGATGAATGTATTGATTATATCTCATCAGTTAAAATGGCTCAAGTGTTGCTAATTGTGTCTGGTTCATTCGGTGAAATCATTGCTCCTCTCATTTTCGAACTATCTCAAATTACATTTATCTACATATTTTGTCGAAACAAAATTAAGCATGAAACATGGGCTAATCATCAACTAAGTAATCAAAATAAAATTCGTGGTGTGTTTACTCATAAAGACTCTCTTCTTATTCAGATAGCTGAGGATGCTAAAGTTTTATCAAAAGACATGACGCCATTGAATGTATTTAGTTTGACTCACAATGAAAAATTAATTTGTGCTTTATACAAAGAAAGCGCTGTGTTTATGTGGAATCAATTGCTGATGGATGTTTTACTTCGTATGCCAAAATCTGACGAGTCGAAAATGGAAATGTTAACCGAATGTGAATCATATTACAGAGACAATGCTAAAGAACTCGAAAAGATAAATGATTTTCGTTTGAATTATTCGTCTGATGCAGCCGTGTTATGGTACACGCGTGACTCATTTGTATATCGCCTAGTAAATAAAGCTCTTCGAACTCGAGATATTGATATTATATTTAAATTTCGGTCTTTCACTGTTGATCTTTATCGACAATTGCAAAAAGAACATCCAAAATTCATGAAATCTTTCGATGAATACTTTCCAACGGTGTATCGAGGACAGCATTTGAAAGCCGATGAATTACAAGTGCTAAAAGACAATATTGGCCTACTGATTTCGATGAATACTTTCATATCAACGACATTTGACAAACATGTAGCTTCGATCCATGCTGGTGACGGTTCATTCAGTCCCATTTGGGAATCTATTCTATTCGAAATAAAAATTAATACACGCATTCACACAAAACCTTATGCTAATATAAGAGAACTAAGCTTTTGGACGGACGAAGATGAAGTACTTTTTTCGGTAGGCACCATATTTCGAATAGAGTCTATCGAAAAACAAATAGGAAGCGGAATCTGGAGTGTAAAACTGTTGCTGGACACCGAAGACGATGAACAGTTGAAAGCGCTGAGTCAACAGATAAGAGAAGAAAATGATGGACCATGTGACCTAAACATGTTGGGTGGTCTGTTAAGACAAATGGGTGAATACTCTAAAGCTGAACGGTATTTGCGAAGACTGATAAATCAGACGTCGCCAAATGACCCTAATAAGAGCACGTTTTACAACAACATCGGACTGGTTTACAAAGATCAAGGCAATTATTTTCAAGCATTGAAATATTATCAGCAAGCTCTTGAAATACAATTGAAGACTTTGGGTCCGAATCATCCATCTATTGCAACAACGTACAACAACATTGGAGTGGTTTACAAAGATCAAGGTGAATATTCTCAAGCATTGAAATATTATCAGCAAGCTCTTGAAATACAATTGAAGACTTTGGGTCCGAATCATCCATCTATTGCAACAACATACAACAACATTGGGCTGGTGAAGGTTAAAGGTTCGTGCTTAGCTTTCATCAAATATCCGCCTGGGAAAGAATAGTTGTAGTCGTTTTTTTTAATATGTCATCACTGTAAAACTAGATTTTAAAAGAGATAATTATATATTCTGAAAGCGCTCCGAGTTCTGTATCACTTTGTCTATTTATGTCTTGTATTGGATGTAAATGCTGAAGAGTAATTTGAGTCCAATGACGGCCCCTCATCGTCAAATTCCCACGCACTGCATTTAGTTACAAATTTCGTGAATTTGTTTTGTAAATTTACCATCACCATAGAAATTGCGTTTTATAAAAGTGATTATTGGTGTGATGAAAATTCACACTCTGATGACGCAAGTTCCCGAGGGGTATGCCTCCCCAGGAACTTTCGTCATATATGACGATAGTGTGGTGTATGAAAGTGCTATAATCGGACTTGCACCAGAAGCTGTCAATTCGTAGAGAGAATCTAGGTGTGAGCTGATGTAACTCTACATAGATGTACATAATTCTAGATAGATTCTCTTCGAATTCTGCTATAATTCTGCCAGATTTTAGTAAAACTAGACTTGGAATTCTACGAGAATTCAACCAGATTCTGAACAGATTCTCGTCAACAGTATATATTTGAATGTGTCGAATTTTGCCAGTTCGAGGAATTTCGATGGAATTATAGAACTGGCGCCTGATGCCATTTATTAATAAATCGGGATTCAATAATGACAGACCTTTTTCTCCACTTCTTTTACACGAACCGAAATTAGTAAAACATTCTGCTTCGATACTAACGATGTTAGACTTAGTATCTTGCAAAAGACAAATAGAACGGCTATGCGATCAACTTTTAATAATTTTCCGTTCTACTTTTAGCTTTTTCAAAACCGATGATGGCAGAATCTGTCGACAGGGTTAAACGAAAGCTGGAAATACTTTCCTTACTTCCCAATGAGATCACCTTATCACTAGATTTTGTATCAAAGAATCGATTTAAAACATTCCAAGATCCACTGGTCTGTATTACGTATCTTACAGAAGTACCAGACAAAGAAATTTTTATTATCATACCGAACATATTTGCGGAAAATGTAGTGCCGATAATTCATAATCTTACACAAATTAAATTAATCTGTATATATAAAACAAACATTCTAACCGATAATAAAAAGGATAAAGAACTAACAGAAAAGTATGTTAAAATATCGGGAATATTTAACGATAAACAACAGCTTATTAATACATTATTAGCTAGCCTGAAAATACTTTCAGCATATGAACTATCATATACAGCACTGGAGTCATTATCAAATACGGCATCACCGTTGCATTGTGATAATGAAGAATGGTGTACAACATTATTTTCAAGCTTAAGAATAGACGATAGTAAAAATTTATCATTAAAAACGTTAAACAAAGAACAAAGTCGTTTTATTTGGTTTCAGTTCTTAGTCGATTCATTACGGCGAGCTCCATCACAAACAACAGACAACGAGATCAATAATTATAGAAAAATGACAGAAATATGTCGATTACAATTTAAAGATAATAATCAAGAACTAAAAGCTATTGATGAATTTGAAAAAACTTATACATCACATCCGCCAATCTGGTGGTACACACACAAAATGCATTTTCTTCGTTTTTCGTTGAATCGAGCACTTTGTTCACACGACATCGGTACTATATTTCAATTTCGTTATTTTATTGTTGACCTCTATAATCAGTTGCTCGAACTAAGTTCCTCGACGTCTGTTAGTCTTACAACTTCACAAACTGTTTATCAAGTACAGACAATGAGTTATAACGAACTGGCACGATTAAAACTAAATACAAATGCATTAATATCGATGAATACGTTCATATCTACTTTTACTTCGTATAAAGTTGCTCTGTCACATATTTCAGAAGATGTTAAATTCAATAAAGAGACTATTCTGTTTGAAATAGAAATTGGTGCTATTCTGAGTCATCGTGAACCATTTGCATATATTCAAGATGTTAGTTATTTAAAACAAGAAGATGAAATGTTATTTTTAATGGGTACAGTATTTCGATTAGAATCAATTGAACAATTAGTCAATAAAATTTGGCGTATTAGATTGAAACTAACCGAAAACGAATTGAATGAATCACAATTGTTACTTGTTCATTATAAAAGGGAATTTGGTGAAAGAGTAACAATAACCACTTTAGGCATGTTTTGGACAGAAGCTGGACGATATACTCGAGCTTTAGATTATTACAAGATATTATTAAATGAGTATTCTTCATCTGACAGTGTTAAAATTGCACTTTATAATAATATGGTACTCATTTATGAGCAACAGGATAAGTTTACAGTTGCAGAAGACTATTATGAAAAAGCATTAAAATTAATAGCTGATCGTTCTTTACCGTCATCGCCTGACCCCGATAAACAACCTGAAAAATCTGATATCATTTTGATACAGCCTAAAAGAAAGAAATCTTCTTCATCAGTAACGTACTATAATTTTGGTTGTGTAATGTTTAAACAAGGAAATTATGAAGAAGCTTTCAAAAATTTTCAAAAAGCTTTTGATGAGCTTGCTAAATGTCCCAATACTAAATGTGATACTATGGAAAAAGCTGATATTTATAACAATATTGGGTGTATACACTATAGAAGACTGAAGTATGATGAAGCACTGGAAAATTTTCGACAAGCATATAAAATTGCATTAAAAATTTCATCACCATTAACAACGGAATACCTCAATAATATATTAGCCACATGTCGAATTCGTGATGAGTAACTTCGAATGTCCTTCTAGTTTCTTCTTCTGTTTTATTAATATAGACATTAAAAAAAACAGATTTTCTTGAACAATGTTCTCTTTTATTTTCATTTTGATATATGAATAAATATTTTATCAGTCATGATAAAAACTATTTTTAAAATGTTTGTTTTCATTTCAGATAAAGAAAGTAT